AGGTGTACAAGCCCAAGAAAAAACACACCAGCTTAACACGTTTTGATAGGCACCACATAAATAACTATATGCCTTTTGAATCAGAGGTGGGTTTCAAATCCCAGTCTACTGGTTCGCATGTGCTTGCGTGCATGACACTTCTGCGCACCCGGGCGGGTGGGCGGAGCCTCCTGTCACCACCACTACTGATTCGCCCAATCCGGGTCAAACTGGGAGCAACCCACCTCTGGTTTGAATGTCTCTTTTCATCCTTAATAAAGATCTCTTCTTCTGGAAAAAACATTAATTTCTAAAGGGTAAAACTTGTATCTACCGGTTATGTTTCCTGAAGAAAAATGACTATTGTTTTTAAGCAGAGGTTTTCATCATGTACTCTTCATTGAATTTTCAGCTTACAATGACAAGATAGTTGCATTTCTGCGGCAACCCAATATCTTTGAAATTCTCCAAGAGCGACAGCCAGATCTCACAAGAAATCATTCACTCAGGTGAGCAGAGTAATGCCATTTTTTTTTCTTACCTGAGATGTTTTGATTTTAAGGCATAAGCAAAATATAACAAGTTCACATTCTCCTTAAAAAAAATCAGTGCAGTATAGAGAAAAAAATCCGAAAACCTATAACATTTTCTTTACTTAAAGAAGTGCCACAGCTCTTGGACTAGGTAAAACATCCAAAATGATACATCTGAAGGTAGTTACTTTTACAGATGAAAACTACTGCTATTTAGTAGACACAGAAACCGGAATGACTAATATGATTTTGCAGAATATATCTTTGTGCCTTAGTTCATACCCTTTTAGGAAACTAATAGGATTCTCTTTGTTGGTAGGAAGAGGAGAATCCATTTATATATTTTTAATGATTCACTTTTAGAACAACAATGCCTTTCTCTAGAGCTTGTGCTACTCCTTGGAATTCATTTATTCAGGGAATATTTAGCATTACCACGAATTACTTATTTTCATTGGCAAGATACTTGAAGCAGTTTGAGTGGAAAAATTATGCCAAGAGAAAATAACAGTATTTAGGAACTATTAATGAGCCATGGTGGCACAATGGTTAGAATGCAGTACTGCAAGCTACTTCTGCTGACTTGTCAGGAGCAGTTCAATTCTCACCAGCTCAAGGTTGACTCACCCTTCCGAGGTGGGTAAAATGAGGACTCAGATTGTTGGGGAAAATTTGCTGACTCTGTAAACTGCTTAGAGAGGGTTGTAAAGCACTGTAAAGCGGTATATAAGTCTAAGTGCTATCGCTATTAATGAGGGGCACTGGTGTTAATAGAGGGGAGCTTGCTGAAGAATTCTTCTTTGGGAGGAGGGTGCATGGTGTAATGAATAAAATGTGCCTAAAACAATTTAGAGGCCTGTTTGATATGTCCCATGAGTTTTATGTACTGCTTTGACATACATTAGTGCTTGATGCAAACAGGGAGAAGATCCAGTTTATTCGGACTGAAGGAACACCAGGTCTAGTGCGGTTATCCAGTGATGCAGATCTTGTTATGTTATTAAGGTAATGTAGATTCTTTAAATTCATTCGTAGATTCTTTAAGCACATTCGTAGAGAGACGCTTCGATTTTGACCTGGGTGCCATTATAAATAAACAAATAAACAGCCCTCTTGCTCCCCTCTGTTTCCAAAAAAAAAAAATATTTTGTTAAGGAGCGGTCTGCAGGAAGGTAAAGCCGGCTAAGTACATCCCCTATCAGTCACCAACGGAGAGAAATCGCCATTTTGAAGTCCGTTTAAACAAAGAAGCCTCTAGGACAAATGAGGCTGGTGTTTAAGATAGTAATAAAAGCATAAATCTCACAGA